CCCAGCCTGGTGGCTTCCTTCCCATCTGAGACCGAGCCTTCGTCCCACAGGTGACGGGGCTGGTCCACAAGTGGGCGTGGACTAAGGACGACGTGATCCTCCACAGTCTCCCGCTCCACCACGTGCACGGCGTGGTCAACAAGCTGCTGTGTCCCCTCTGGGTGGGCGCCACCTGTGTGATGCTGCCCGAGTTCAGCGCAGAGCTGGTAAGCAGGGGATGGGCTGCGGGCATGGCTGGATCTGGGCGCCAGAGGACCAGGGGCGCCTTGCTCGGCAGTGAGACCCTGTGGCTGTGTGAGTTCTGCGTTGCTGCTGTAACAAAGGATTACAGACCGGGGCGGGGCGGGGGGCTGACGACAACACACAGATCCCTCACGATTCCCAAGTCAGGAGTCCAAGGTGAGTCTTCCAGGGTGATGTCAGGGTGTGCACAGGGTGGCTCCCATCTGCAGGCTTTGGGACAGGCTGGTCCTGGCTTCCTCCAGCATCGGGCGGCACTGTGCCCTTGGCTCGTGGCCACCTCGCCCCGGGCTCTGCCTGCCTCACGTGGACCCCGTGGTCACATTGGGCCACTTGCGTGTCCAGGGTACCCTCCCTCCTCAAAAGCTTTAACCGCAGGTACAGAGCCCCTTTTGCCACACGAGGTGACGTATCCATGTTGATTAAGAATCGGACGTTGGGGTCCGTGGCTCAGCCAACCGCACCGGCTCTCCTTCGTTCCACAGCGGGAGGTCCAGCTGGGGCCTCGTTGTCGGGCCTCCCGTGTGCCGGTCCTCACGGCGTGTTCCTCCCCTGAGGCTCTCGGCCTCACTCTGCCCTTCATCCGTTTGTGTTGTTTCTTAGCTGCGGGGTCCTTGGTGGTGTTAAGTGAACAGAGAGTCTGCAGCTTTGAGATGGCTGAGGCCCCGCCCACTTTCTAGACAGACAGACCCGTCTGGAGCGATGGTCCTGGCACGCACATGCCTCTTCCCGGCGGGACTGGGCCCTTCCCGTCCTCTCTCTCCGCCCTGCTCCCCCCACCCCTGGCCACACGGCTGCCCTGAACGGACTCGCTGGAACGGACTTGACGTTTCAGCCCTTCGCACCGTGCTCAGGTTCATTCCTGTGCTGCCCTGAGGCTCCCTTGGTCTCTTGTGTCACCGTGTTGGGTCCCACTGCTTACCCGTGCTGCCATCGAAGGACATGGTTTCCAGTCCGAGGACATTGTGAGTCAGGCCGCTGAGGACACTCTCGTAAGGCTCTTTCTGTGGACGTGTCTCTCGGCCGTGACCTGCCACGGACACGCGTGTGGAAGGGCGCTTACCGCCACCGGCAAGGCGTGAGGGTGGCTCCGTGTCCTTGCGCATATTGGCATTGCGGTCGAGTGGCTCTCAGCTGTCGCAGCGAGACGGTTGGATTTGTGCCCGTGTGTGTGTTTTTGCTTCCTTCTCTTGAGGTGTGATGCCCAGATAGTGTGTATTTCGCCGCGTTGCGGTGAGTGTGCGTGTGCGAGGCCCGCTGTCCCCGCCCTGCGAGGCTGGCCGTGCCCCCTTCTGGCCCCCCCCCACCGGACGCAGCCACCTCTTCTGTCGTCCTGCTCTAGGGCAGTTGGTCTCCTGAGCCTCACGAGTGATGGGGGCACAGAGACTGCCGTCCCTGACCGTTCTTGAGATGTGTCCGCGTTCACGCGACAGTGGCTCATCCCTTCTCTGCTTCTGTCCCTCCATTCTCCTGTTGGGCGACATTGGGTGCTTTCCACTTCGGCTTTATGAGTAAAGCTGCCAGGACATCGTCATGGAACTTCCTGCAGGGACAGATTTTCCTTTCCTTGGGGTACATACCCCAGGGTAGGACTGCTGGGTCAGGACGTCGTGTGCGTTTGACTTCAGGAGGAACTGCCGAACCGTGGCTTCTGCTCCCTGCTATTGTCGGCAGCGAGGAGGGGGGCAGCACAGCACACTTGTCCAGGGTTTTGCATTTCAGCCACCTTCCTGCGTGCCCAGCACCACCCTGTTTTTGTTATAAAATTCGCGTTTCTCCTGAGCACTTTTTCATATGTTGTTGGCCATTCGAAATCTCTTTGAGGTGTTTTTTTTTACTATTGACTTGTAGGTCTTCTTTATACAATCTGGGTAGAAGGCCTTGGTCAGAATTACACGCTATGAACCTTTCCCCAGTCTGGTGTTTCACAAATGGTGTCTTTTTTAACACTGTCTTGTGATACAGACAATTTTTACTTCTGTAACTCTGATCTGGAACTGGTGACCGTCGTGGACATCCTTGACTCACGGTCTCGAGGAAAGCGTTGACGGTTCCCGGTTCAGTGTGATGCTAGCTGCTGGGTTTGTAGATGCCGTTTACCAGCTGAGGATGTCCCTGTCGCGTCCCTGTCTGCGGAGACTTCTTCTCTTAGAGGGGACAGGGTATCACAGGTGTCTTACCTATCGCGATGATCACACAGCCTCTTCCCCCTTGATTTGCTTATTATCTCTTTCTCCCTTTAGTCTGCTAACACGGCTGGTTATGCTGATCAAAGGTTTTCACGTTTCTAGCTTCCTAACCTTGCGGCCCAGACTTCCCGTGGTCGGGACGTGGTGTCCTTTTATGTGTTGCTGGGTTTGATTTACTGACGTTCTGTTAAGGCTTTTGCATCTGTGTTGATGAGGAAGGCAGGTCTGTAGCCCTCTGGGGCGTCCTCGCTGGGCTTCTGTGTCGGGGCCGTGCTCCCCTCGGGAAGGGCCTCTTCCCCCACCGGGCAGGTTGGTGTTAAGGCTGCGGCTGTCCCTCCCATGAGGTTTGCTCAAACTCACCACGGAAGCCATCCAGGCCAGACCTCTCCAGGAAGGCTTTTAGCGAAGGGTTCCGTTTCTTTAACGGATTCAAGACTTCTAATGGTTCCTATTTTGTTTCTTGTGTCAGTTTTGGTAAGTTTTTGTGTTTATTTTACTTGTGCTTATTTTCTATTTCTGAGAGAGAGAGAGTGTGGCTGGGGGGGTGTTGGGGGGGGAGGGACAGAGAGAAAATCACAAGCAGGCTCCACACTTAACACAGAGCCCGACATGGGGCTCCATACCACGACCCTGGGATCGTGACCTGAGCCGAAATCAAGAGTCAGGTCCTCAGGGCACCTGAGTAGCTCCGTCGATTAAGCATTTGACTTTGGCTCAGGTCATGATCTCACAGCTTGTGGGTTTGAGCCCCATGTCGGTTTCTGCGCTGACAGCTCAGAGCCTGGAGCCTACTTCAGATTCTATGTCTCCCTCTCTCTCTGCCCCTCCCCGCTCGCATTCTCTCTCTCTCTCTCTCAAAATTAAACAAACAGTAAAAAAAAAAAAAAACAAGGTCAGGCACTCAACCAACTGAACCACTCGGGTACCCCATTTTTGTTTCTAAAAGAAATTGTGCACCGTTAAAATTGTGAAGCGCATTGGCATGAAGGAGTTCGTGCTTCTCTCCCTGTCCTTCCGGGGTGCCTGGGCTCTGAGGTGGTGTCTCCTTTAACTCTGATGTTGGCGGTTGGCGCTTTTGTTCTGTCCTCTTGATCGTTCCTGTGTTCGGGCTCGCAGTCCTGTCAGTCTTTTCTTTCCTCCAATGCACCCGTGCTGCTTTAAACAGTCCGGAGTCCGTAACTTGCACAGTGATGACCCGGCCTTCCCTTGTGGGGTGCTCCCCCTGCCCCCCCGCTGGCTCGTGAGCCTCCCAGCTCGTTTCCCTGAACTGTGTCGCGTCTTTCCTGCGGCTGTCGACGCGTTGTTCACGCCATGCAAGTCACCACCGTAAATGATTCAGGGAGTCTTCATAAATGTGGTCTCTCGGGCTTTGTCTCAACCCCTGCTCCCACGCGGTGACCGCCATCCACCGCCTTCCCCGCGCATTCCCCTTCCTGGACGCTGCACGTACGGGGAGTCCTACCGCCCGCAGTGTCCTGTGTCCGGCTTCTGTCACTGCGCACAATGTCTCCACTCAATCCGCGTTGCAGCGTGGGGGTCAGCGGCCCCCGTCGTGCGGCCGCACGTGCTCCGCTCGCCCCTGAACCGTCCGTCGGGCCCGTGGGAGACTCGTAGTTTTGCCCGGTGGGAGCGGCGCTACCGTGAGCGTTCGCACGCAAACCCTTGTGTGGACCTGTCTCCGTTTGCCTTACAGGGATCTGCAGGGACAGGATCGCCACATCGCGGCACGGGTTTACATTTTGTGTTTTCCGAAACCGCCAACCTGTTTTCCAGTTCCGTTCTTTCCTGGTTTATGTTTTCACCCGAGTGTGCGGGGACCTCAGTTTCTCCACATCCTCACCAGCACTTGTTGGAAGTTACCACTACGCTCACTGTGGAGGATGTGCAGTGAGATCCCTCGTGGTTCCGATCTGCATTTCCTTACTGACCAGTCAGGTGGAGCGATGTTTCACGGTTTATTTGCACCCCTGTATCTTCGGTGAGCCGTCTGTCTAGGTTTTTTGCCCCTTCTTAAATTGGGTTGTTTATCTTACTGAGTCGTAAGCGTTCTTCATATGTTCTGGATGTAAGTCTTTTATCAGATGGATGGTTTGCAAACATTTCCTCCCGGTCTGGCTTGTCTTTTTATTGCCTTAATGGTATCTTCTGAAACACGTGTTTTGGTGAAATCCATCGTATCCGTTCATTTCGTAGATCGCACTTGTGGCCTGACCGCTGAGAAATCTTTGCCCAACCAAGATCATGAAGATTTTTTTCCAGAAGTTTTATGGTTTGAGCTCATGCATTTAGGTCTCTGATTCACTCGGGGTTAACTTTTGGGCGCGGTGAGGGTCTCAGATTCATCCTTTACGGGTACGTGTTCAGTTGTCCTAGCACTGTCCGCTGGAAAGATGACCTCTCCCCGGCTGAAGGGGGGCTCCCTTGTCGACACCCAGTTGGCCGTGCGTGGTGGTCTGTTTCCGGGCGCTGGTCGGCCCGTATCTGGGGGTCTGAGCTTGGACCAGCAGCATGCTGCGTTGGCCACCGTTGCTTTAGAGCAGGTCGGGAGTTGAGAGCTGTGAGTCGTCCACGCTTGCTCTCCCTTGTCACAGTTGTTTCGGCTCTGCTGGGTCCTTACCCTCCCACGTGAATGCGGCCAGGGGCCTGGGGCCCTGGGGGACGTGGTGACGCTGCGGCCAGGCGGCAGAGGACCGCCGTCTCGTCAGTGCTGCGGCTGCCGGGCCGCCGTTTCCTCGGTCGCCCGTGCGTCGCCCGCACTGCTCTGTCTCCTGTCCTGTCCCGTCACTGTCAGTGTAGACCTTTGCCACCGGCCTGTGCCCAACTGCTTCTGTCCTTCTGTGCCTTCCTATCCGTGTCTGAGTCTGTCCGGGGAACTCGTGACTTTGGACAGTATGTCTCCTGGTTTTGTGATGGTTCTTTTTTGTATTTCCACATTCCCGATGAGATTCTTGATTTTCTCTTGTTTTGTTCACCTTTTCTTCAAAATTCTGTAGCCTGTTTGTTGTAATCGCTTCCAGTTCCCGGTCTGATAATTCCAACATCTGGATCTTTGAGGCTCTGCTCAAAGACATTTTTTTTCCTAATTATGGGTCACATCTTCCTGTTTCCTTACGTGCTTTGTCACGTGGGGGTGCCCATCATTGTCTGTAAAGGAACGGTATTGTTTCCCTGAGAGCCCAGTCAGGGGGCAGCGTGTGAGGTGCCAGGCCCTCGAATGCCATGGGCCGAGGTCTGCATGTGTCCGGGGCACCGGGGGCCCAGTGCCGTGAGCTCTGCGCCCCCCCCACCCCCCCATGACCGGGGCTTACGCGGCAGCGCCGCGGGGAGGGGAGCCGCGGAGGGAGTGTGCTGCCCCAGCTGCCTCCAGGACTAGGCGACACGTGAAGCGCTTTTGTACGAAAGCAAGAAGCGTCTGTTGCCCAGTGACACAAAATGCACGTGCCTTTCCGATGAGCCGGGACGGTGGCGCATTCACCACCTCTGTTGGCGCCAGGCGCTGTGCTGACCCGGGGCTCACCGGTGCCCCTCGGGAGGGCGTGAGGTGCCCCGCCGCTGCTGACACCGGGCCGACGCCGGAGCCGCGCCCCCTCTCGCGACTTGCCGTCCCCCACAGGTCACCCTGCAGCAGACACCAGTGTCGCTGGCACAGCGGGTCCACGGAGTGGCCAGAGGCTGTGTCACCCCGTGAAAGTGACGGGAGCCGCTTACGGGCCCCTCAGAGCCGAAGGAAAGGAGCGGTCTCCACAAAGAAAACTGTTCTGGAAGCAGATGGCACGTGTCTGAGCGCGCGCGCGCGCGCGCGCGTGTGTGTGTGTGGTTTCTCACGTTTTTGCCGTATCCCTCTTTTTTCCTTTTTAGGTTTGGGAAAAGCTCTTAAGTTCTGAAGCTCCACGAATTAACGTATTTATGGCGGTGCCTACAATATATGCCAAGTTGATGGATTATTATGACAAACATTTCACTCAGCCTCACGTCCAGGATTTTGTACGTGCGGTCTGTGAGGAGAAAATTAGGTAGGTGAAAACAGTCCCCTCTCCTACCCAGAAAGTCTGAAAGATCACACATGTAACTTACTTCCAGTAAAGCAGTTCTAGGTTTTAGGAGGCAGCACTTTCCCTTTCCTGTAGAGTCTACATCTAGCCGTTTGTACTTTCCGCACGTCCGTCCGTATTGTATCTCGCTGCGTGTCTGTCCAGGTGCGGCTGTCTCTCTGCCGGCCTGTCTGTCTGTCTGGTGGTCCAGTCTGAAGGAAGAGGGCTGCCCCATCCACTCTGACCCCTCGTGAGCATGGCTCCTCGCAGTCCCCCATCGTCTCTCTCCGCCGTGGTCTCTAGCTCTGGCCCCTGAGCGCCCCCCCCCCTCCAGAGCACCCCCACCCCTGCCCTCCCACATCCCTGGACAAACACGCTTCCTGACAGAGACACGCAGGATCTCTGGGCCCTTCGGCGGCGTGAGGCTTCTTCCGCTCCGTCTCGTGCACCTGCAGACACCGCACGCTTCTCCCTGCTTGTCGCTGCAGTGGGAGTCCTGAGAGTCCGTGACTTTTCACAGGACCGGCAGGCACACGTCACCCGAGTGTGGCTCCAGGAGGCCAGCACAGCCAGTCAGCGGAACACCGAGTGAGCCGCGGCGCCAGCCTGACCTTGAAATCTGTGCGCGTGTCCCTGTGGCTTCCGCCCCACTCCACGCCCCTGGTTCCCGCTTCTTAGGAGGAGCACAGGAGGGTCGTCCACCGTGCTTCCTGGAGAGAATTCCGGATTATCCGAGCCAATATCCGACATGGCTGTGATTCTGCCCCCTCCCCCATTGCTTTGCTCCTCATCCGGTGTTGCCTGCCTCCCGCCTCCCATCCCCCTCACGAGGCATCTGGCCCCCAGGACAAGAGCAGCGTCAGTCGTACATGTTCCCCAGACCTAAAGAGCCAAGGGCAAGCGTGGGATCAGAGAGAGGAAACCAGGGTGATTTCCGAGAGGCAGAGGCCCCCAGGCCTCACCGGCTTGGGCTCGTGGTGGGGCGGGTCCTCGTGAGCTCACCTCATGAACTAGAAACAGAACCAGCTGTGTGGCAGGGACAGGAGCGCCCCGGGGGGGGGGGCTGCCTGAGCGACTGTCCCCTCCGCGAGCCAGCCGGCTACAGCAGCGCCCATCCGTGGGCCGTGTGCTTCCGGCGGCCTCTCGCCCTCTGACCTGGAAGCGGTTTCTCCCAAACCAAAGCCTTACTACCTCTGCTGAGGTTTGGGCTGGTTCATAAATGGCGTATTGCTCGCAGAGAATGCCTTCAAAGACCCTAAAGTTATTTTTTTACTTCAATTACCCATTCCTTTGAAAGACTCGTTTGCACCCTAAGATACACCCGACAAATTCATTTCAAAAAACAGAGTTAGAATTTAGCCCGCAACTACTGCTCACGTCCTGAACCGTAGGGCAGTGGCGGCGAGTGAAGAGCTGTGTGTGTCCACTTGCGGTCCCTAAGACCGTCTGTCCCCTTCGTGCCGGCAGGTTGATGGTTTCGGGGTCCGCCGCCCTGCCCCTGCCTGTGCTGGAGAAGTGGCAAAGGCTCACCGGCCACACTTTGCTGGAGCGGTATGGGATGACGGAGATCGGCATGGCCCTGTCCAACCCCCTGACCACGGCTCGCACGCCAGGTACCCACCAGCCGCGTCCTCTCCCTCCCTGTGCCCCGAGCCCTCGGGGGGCGGGGGGGCGGGTGGTCTGGGGAGCGCGCTGCCCTGCTGGGCCAGAGAACTGTCTTGGGGTGTTGGCCAGGTGGTTGGGGCCTGTGCCCCTGCCACTTCCGCGCAGACCAGGCTTGCCGCTGGCCAGAGCGTCCCATCCAGGAACCACGCAGGGTATAGGGGCAGGGGTGAGGGAGCCCTCTATCTGTCTGGATGACCTTTCCTAAGTCCAGCCTTTTCTCCGGCGCCCCACTCCGACTTCAGCTCAGACTTTCACATCCCGGGTCCTTAGCAAGGAATCCGCAGCGGAGCCCAAGCCCAGGAGGTGAACGTGCCCCGTTTCTGTTCTCAGCTCCCTCCCCGTCCTCACAAGGCACCCCCTCCATGGTGTCCACAACACGAGAGGGATCGCATTTAGAAATAAGACCAAACACTTCTGTGTCTGTGATTATATCCACACATGCATGTATCTCGCACGTACGATAAAACTCACCGTGTCCACGTTCAGTCTGTGAGTCGGAAACACACCTAACCATGTAGCCCGTATCACACTCGAGACGCAGAAACGTCCGATGCCGCAGACCCTCCCCTTGTGCGTGCTCGGCACCCCACCCCCCCAACCCAGGCCGGGCAGGCATACACCTTGTCTCTGTGCTTTTCCTGGAATGTCCTACAGGACGTGGCCTTTCGGGTCCCTTCACGGGGTGTGGCGTCCACATGGACACGTGTCCTTTCCTGCGCCGAGCGGAATTCCGCGGTGCGCACCGGCCGCTGTTTGCTACCGCTTCGCCAGCTGAAGGACACTGGGCTGCGTCTGGTTTGGGCCAGTTACCAGTAGGGCTGTCATAAACGTCTGTGTGCAGGTGCCGTGCGAACACATGCCTCGTGGGAGAGTCCCCAGAGGGGGGTCGTGGGGTCCGAAGGCAGATGAGCACTTGACTGCCCGAGAAGACGCCACACCGCATGCAGAGCGGCTCCTGGCGCTGGGGCGCTCTTACCCATTGGCAGACCGGGACCCTGAGGCTTGGGGGGCGGCAGGGTTGCACACCCGCCGTGCCACAGAGCAGGTATTCGTGCGTGCAGCAGCACGGCCCGGCTTGGAGGCACAGAGAAGGGCACAGAGATGCACAGAGAGCCTTCTGGGCCTTAATTATAAGAGCAGACGCAAGGCCAAGAGCCAAGACCGGGAGCCAGGACAGGAGGGAGTCCACGAGGGAGGCCCCGCGTGGGGCCCACCGCAAATGGGGGGGGGGGGGGGTGGCGGGCAGGGTCCTCAGGTGAGCAGGGAGAGCAGCCGCCCCGGACAGAGGTCACGCAAACGTGCCCAGCTGACCTGGCCGTTTCCGGCCCCCTCTGCGGAAGGGGGATCCCAAAGGCTCTGAAACCTAACATTTATTGGGCAGAAATTCTGGAATCTTCAGTTAGGCTGCAGCTCTCCTCCAGGCCTCAGAGGCCTCGTCGCTCGTCTTACCTTTGAATCAAATACCTGTGACCTTTTTCTGTAACGCAGGCCTCCAGCAGGCGGGTTCGATCCTGTTTGCTTTGGAAAAAAGCAAGTGGCCTCGTTTCTGGAGAAACCAGGTTGACAGGGCGTCCTGGGCACCTTCTGGTCTTGTCTGCGCACCGTGACGCCTGGGCTGGGCTCGCGTCACACTCGGGACCCCCGTACCTGCTCCCGGCTCGGGGTCGCCCCGGGCCGGCCCTCCCTCTCTGCTGCCTGTGTGGCCTCTGAGTGTGGCGCTCTCCGTGGGTCCGGGGACCGCCAGGACCCGTTTTTGCAGGTTCTCACACCCTGACCTGGGCGCCCGGGGCGAGGCCAGCCTTGGAAGAGGGTTGTTTGCTGAGAGTCAGGCTCTGGGTCGGTCTTCCGGTTGTTCCTTCTCCGTGGCCCTCACGTACCATGAAAGGAGATGAATAATTCACAGCCAGGCGCCGCTGGGCCTAATCACACTCTAATTGGCGGTGGAGATCAGAGGCGCCAGCGGCTTCTACAGCCGGCTCGGGGGAGCGCTGACGGCAGCTCCAGCCTTACCGGCCTGTCCCCCCTCTCTCGGGACGGCCGCGGACTGGCCGCCCTCCCCAGACTCCGGACGGAGCCACGGGCCAATTGCGGTTATCTGGGGAGAGCTGAGGACCGTTTTAAAGACTGCGTTTTATGACTGTGCCTGGGGGGGGGCGGGTGGACGCTAGGAGGGGGCGGAGCCGACCCCGCGGGGGCGGGCTGGTGGCTGCCTGTGGTCTGCCCGCCAGCTGGGGTGGGACAGACATGGTTCGGGCTCCAATGCTGACCCCTCCCCCCGCCCCGAACTGTGTCTTCTCTGTGTGGACCTCACCCTGCGGGACGTCAGGCCTCTGAAACCAGGGTCGTCCCTGCCTGGAGGTTTTAGCTGTATTGTCGTGTCCGCGATGCTGTAACGAATCACGATTCCGTCGGCACGTCCGTTCCAAATCTTAACGGCTGGCAGCATTCGCCGTTCAGAGGGAGAAAAGAGCAGAGAGGGGCAGGGGGAGCCGAGGAGGACGGCTTTCTCCTGCTAAAAAATGTTCCAAGGAGAAACCAGTGGGTTGAAAGCTGGGGAGGAGGACGGGGGGCGCTGGCGTTTCTCAGAGAGGAGGACGGACCCCCTTCTGGTAAGAAGCGTGTGTCCGGTCTGTGCTCCCATACGGTGCCAGCGGGTGGTGGCGCGGAGGGCACGGGGCACAGAGACCGCTCCTCCCGGGCGCCTTTTCCACCTGCTGCCCGAGTCCCGCCCTCTGTGATACGGCGGTGCCAGAAAGCGCCGTGTTTGCCGAGTTCTGGGAGCCGCCAGCCCGTCAGCCTCTCTAGACCGGGAGGCCCAGGAAAGGACAGTCTACGCAGCAGAGTTAAACTTGTCACTGCCACAGTCTAAGGGAAAGGGGCCGTTTAATCCAGAAAAGGAGACCTCGAGGTCCCCTGGCAAGTGCGTCTAGACTGCGTGTGGAACACTGCATCTGGTCTCCACTGCGCCCAGGGGATGCCAAGCCCGGCGCCAGGAGGAGGGGGCTGGAGGGGCTGGGTTCAGAGGCTGCTTCTTGTGTCTGGTATCCGTGTCTCACGCTGGGGAGGAGACTCCCTCGCTTCCCGTGTGGCGTCTCGAGAGTCCTGTTGCCTGCGCGGCTGCGGGCTCCATGCACGTGCACTGCTAGCAGGACTGGGGAGGACCCGTGTCTCAGGTCCTCGTAGAAGCGTCCGGAGCAGGCAGACCCGCCGAGGCAGCCGATGAACGGTTGTGGGGGTGGGGGAGAACGCGTGACTGCTGACGCCTCTGGTTTCCGCCCGGTGACTGCAAGTTCTGGAGCCATTGGCGGTTACGGTTGCCCCACGTCACAGACGCTGAGCGTTTGGTCTCGGGACCTCCGCCACAACGGTCCTTCACCGTGGGGACTTGCGCGTTGCCCTCAGCGCACGGCAGACCGCTGCCCCCGTGCTCCGGAACACACCGAGCAAACCATGGGTGCCTAATAAATGAACCAGAAGGCGGGTGACAGGCTTCCCTGCCTGCTTCGTCCCTCCTGGGCCTTCTGCACACAGGTGTTCCGTGGTGACCCCGGGGACAGGCCACCGACGCATGTGCCCTTACAGCAGAGCTAGGTGCTGGAGGGGGAGGTGGTGGCAGCCCCAGCCTTCGGCCCGGGTGCCCAGAGCCTCCCTAAGGTGACTGGGTCCCCTCGCTCTGGCATCTACCATCTTCTGTGCAGGACGTCCAGGCGGGCAGCCCCCTCCTTGTCTGTCTTTGCAGGTTCCGTGGGGACCCCGCTGCCAGGTGTGGAGGTACGCATTGTGTCAGAAAACCCCAAGAAGGACGGCTATCCCTACGTGCTCCACGCGGAAGGAAATGAGAAGGAGACAAAGGTGGGCCACTGCCCTGTGCTCCGCTGGTGGCACACGGGTGTCCCACGGCCAGGACCGCCCAGCAGGCCAGAGGTTGAAGGTCTCTTCCTTGGGGCCCCGACACAGGTTCAGGCTGGTGTTTCCTGAGGGCACCCACTGGTGTTTCCGGGCACCATGCCCTATGGACAGTGTGCAGAGCAGGGCCAAGGCCAGCTGGGCCCCGACCTCCAGACTCTGCCCGCCCCCTCAGGCTCCATCCACTGTGGGTCGTGACAGCCTCTGGACGGCCCTTGTTGAAACAGGTTGTTAGAGGCACCCTCTGGTTCACAGCGCTGGGCTGGCGGGGCCCTGTCTCCACTCAGTAAACCCAGGCTGGGTGTGGCTGGTTCCTTGCGAGGCCACCACGGGCAGCTCACGGGGCCCCGAGAACGAAGGCTGCCGCCAACCGCTGGAATCTGGTGGCTTTGCTGTTACTCTAGGTTGACCAGGGTGAGGAAGGGGATACTACTTACTGTCTTATTTCAGTGAAGTTTCTAGTAGCTGCAAATCTGATCGTCGGTGAGTAGAAACCACAGAAAAGTTGAGGGTCGGTGGGACTGGAACCTCGATGTAAAAGGAAATCACCTTCTCTATAGCCAATGCCCATACTAGACGTCCGTGTGACTGATCTCCACTGGACCCACGTGTCAGCTTCTGTCCCTGGAGAGGTGGCTCCCAGCTCCGTACCTGTGCCAGGCCTTGCCCTGTGACCTTGCCCCGTGGCCTCAGTTTCCGTGTCTGGAGTGAGAGGTCGAGGAGACGGTCAAGCAAGCGGGTGGAGCTGGTGGTTCAGGTGTAGTGCTACGAACGTGTTCACAGTGAAGAAGTAGGTGTTCCGTTTACCCAAGAAGACCCCGCCCCTGGGCCCCCGTGGGGAGGGTCAGCCCTCGGCACGGCACGTCGCCCGGCTCCCAGTCGCGGTGTTCCCGGGGCCTGTGTAGCCTGACGGTCCTTGCTGCTTCTCTGGCCAGAACCCAGCACCGGGAATGAGGCGTGAGTGGCCGGGCGGCAGGGGGCGCCAGGGTCTCTGCACCGTACAGGGGAGCCCTGGGGAAGACAGGAGCAGGGAACAGCTGGGCCCAGCCGTGCTTCCCAGATGGCGGGAAGATTCCGTGTTTGCTCTCACGGGCCCGGAGCAAGGCGGGGAGGGGCGCACGCCTGTGACGCCCAGTGGCTGCGGCAGCCGGGTGGTGCCCGTGTCTGAGAAGGTCCCTGACGGCTCCAGAGGGCGGCTCACGTGCCCGGGCCTGTGAGTGCCAGCCCTCGTCGCGTCTGCCGGGGCACCGAATGGGCTCTCGCTGCCGGTCCTCAGCGTGTGTCCTCGTCTCCCCGTCGCGGGCCGCCCTGGCTGTGGCTGCTTGCTGACGTGGCCGGAAGCCCGGGGACACCCAAGTGTCCCGCCGTCCGCAGCTCTGAGCTGGCGCTTCCCAAGCCTGCAGCTTTGTCTGGCGGGACCTCGGGCTCCCCTGCCCGGACGCTTCTCTGGATGCGCAGGAAGTGGCTCCGTCTTCTCGGTGTCTGTCTCGCCCGGCTGCCGGGCCGCGGTCAAGGCCGCACCTGCCTGGAGGACCCGGCAGCTTTGTTTGCTGTGGTGCATCTTCCACGTGCCACGGCCGCCCAGCCGGCGTCGCCTTTAAACCTACAAGCACGTCGCGCGGCGTCTGTTTTCCAAGTGCTCACTTTCAAGAGAGCCAAGCACCGGCCAGCACCAGTGAGGTCCGGCAGCAGACAGGTGGCTTCCCGGCTGTATGTGACACGCTGGCCTGCACACGAAACGTCGTCTCTCGCCGAGAACGCAGACACACCGCGTGTGGTGTTGCGGCTGGCGCGGGGCGGTGGCAGCGAGCTCTGCTTCCCTGGTTTCCCCTTAAAAATTAATTACCTTGTTGTCTGTCCATATGCGGGCTGTCGCTCCGGACAGCAGCCTGCTCGGCCGCCTGTCCTCCTGACGGCCACCAGCCTCTCCTGGGCTCCCCTCCGCTCCTTCCCCCCCGCCCCCGCCTGTCCCTGCCATCTGTCGCCGCTGTGTGCCACCGACGGCCGAACGCGGCCTGCGGCAGGGCGAGGACTGGGGGCGGAGAGCCGGAGGGCCCGCTCGTGCTCTGGCCTTCGGTGGGGGCTGGGGTGACCAGGCTGTCCCCGCAGAGGCGCTCCCCTCCGACAGACAGACCGTCATCTGCCACGTGTCCCCCGCCTCGTGGATGCAGTGGGCTTACCGACTCTGTGTCGAGGGCCAGGAAGGACATGGCCATACCCCGATGCGGGAACCTTCACGGGAAGGCCAGCGGCGCCTGATGGGCAGGATGGACGGGCCGGATGAGTGTCTGCCAGCCCTTAGCTGCCCCGTGCCTCTCTCCCCCCGCCTGCACCAGCGCCGGCCCCACGTGCCCTTGAAGGGCGCGCTCAAGCCACGGAAGGCGAGCAGCCGCTCCTTCCTGCCTTGAGCCCGTCCCTGCGTGCCTACCCAGATCCTTCCAGCCCCGAGCAGTGGGCGGCACCAAGTGACACAGCCGTCCATCGGGACACAGTGGGAGCCCGCAGCCAAGGAGGGACCCGGGGCCCTTCGGGGACAGGGGCCCTACCGTGGGTCCTACCCGCCCTCACCGGCCTCCTCGGCCCATAGCCTACCTGCCTGCGTTCCTGCCTCTTACTCCAGCAGGCTTTTCTCCACAGACGGTTGGAACGGATCCCTCACTGTGAACTTGGGCAGGTGTCCGGGCTTGTACCTGGGGGCTTTCTAGCACCTGCCACTGCCAGAGAAAGACATTCAGGCTGCTTCCAGACGGGGAAGGCTCCGTTCCGGTGCTGGTGGTTCTCTAGCATGGCCGCTTGGGGTAAACGGATGGTACCTCTGCGTGGGTGCCCGTGCCCTCGGTCACGTGACAGTCCCACGTGTGGGTCCTCTGAAGACGAAGACGAGGGTCCCCATGAAAACAGCCCAGGCTGTTGGCTGCAGCACGAAGCAGCACTGTGTGTGACTACTGGGCACCCAGGTCTGGGGGTGTGCCCCATCCAACCCGCACCCGCCTATCCTTGGGAACAGCTGGGGCCCCCAGAGCACCGGGTGTGGGCCTTGCTGATCGCCTGCCTACCTCTGAACTCGTCCCAGCAGATGTGGGGTGTTAACTCTGAGTAGGTCTAAGGAATCACAGCAGAAACCCCTGCGGGGCTCTGCTCCCACTTGTGACCCAGTGATCCAGGTGATGGAACGTAGCCTAAGGCAACGTTTATCGCTATGCGCGGTTTTAGATCCTTTATTTCCTGTGATAATGTTCTCATCTGTGTTCCCCTTCCCCCGGCTTATCTTCACTCTTTTTTTTTTTTTTTTTTTTTATAACTTTTGATGTTTATTTGCTTTTGAGAGAGAGAAAGAGCGCAAGGTGACGGCAGGGAGGGGCAGAGAGAGGGAGACACAGAGTCAGAAGTAGGTTCCGGGCTCTGAGCTGTCAGCTCAGAGCCCGACGTGGGTCTCGAACCCACAAGCTGTGAGATCGTGACCTGAGCCAAAGCCAGATGCTTAACCGACAGAGCCTCTTGGGCGCCCTGAGGACCTGACTCTTGATTTCGGCTCAGGTCACGGTCCCAGGGTCATGGTAGGGAGCCCCATGTCGGGCTCTGTGTTAAGCGTGGAGCCTGCTCACGGACCGTGAGATCGTGACCTGAGCTGAAGTCGGACGCTTAGCGAGCTGAGCCACCCAGGCGGCCCCCTATCTTCACCCTTGATAAGCCTTCATACCCTTGTCTCTAAAACTTATAAATGTCAGTGACCAAAATTAAGTTGACTCCTTTGTCCCAAAGTCCGTCTGATGAGTCAGTATCACATAAACCACTGTGTAACGGGTGCATGTGAATTTAGAGCTTCAAGTTGGAGGTTCGTTTTCCCTCTTTCCCTGAAGCAATGAAAAAAAAAATTTGTGTTTTTTTTTGGCATAAAGAGAATGATGGCCTATTTTAGTTACTTGGTACTTGCTTTCCATAGTCCAGAGACTCCCTGGCAAATCTGTAGGAAAATTAGGACTGGTAGATGTGTGTGTCTTTATGGTATGGAACCCATGAGGGCTGCTACATATCTGAGCTGGTCTATACAGAGGTTGTAGGCTCTTCTCCCTTGAACTGTGTATCTGTTTCTCTGCCAACACCAGTCTTGACTACTGTCGCTTTATGGTGGGTCTCAGAACTATAGCCTTATGCCACCAATTTTATTCTTGTTCAGAGCTGTTTTAGTTATTGGTATTATTTTGCTTGCCATTCCAGTTTTGCAACTAGGTTGTTTGTATGTATTAAAAAATCCTTTGGGGACCTTGATCAAGATTGCACTAAATCTGTAGATCAGTTTGGTGAACATTAACATCCTCACTATGACCAGTCTTCTGATCCATGAACATGGTATGCCTCTGCATTCATTTAGGTCTTCTTGGTGTCAGATTCTGTGTCTCCCTCTCTCTCTGCCCCTCCCCCATTCATGCTCTGTCTCTCTCTGTCTCAAAAATAAATAAATGTTAAAAAAAAATTTTTTTTTAAAAGAGAAAAATGCTCAGTGACACTTGTTAAAAATGGCATGGCAGACTTCATCCAGGACACTGGGATAAGTGTAGGGCCCCCTGCGATGGGGCTTTTCAGTGCGGAGGAGAGGTTGGGCTCAGCTCTGAGTGCAGTGTGGTCTGTGGACATGTTCTTTCGAGCAGCAGGCGGGATTGACGGGATCTTTGCTGAGGGCAGGCTGGGTGATCACGTGTCACCTGAGGGTGATACCAGATGTGAGGCTGACCAGGTATCAGAGCGGGGGACTCTTGCTAAACTCAAACAGCAGGGTTTCGTTAAAACTGGATCTTACAGGGGCACCTGGGTGGCTCAGTCGGTTGAGCGTCCAACTTCGGCTCACGTCATGATCTCGAGGTCCGTGAGTTCAAGCCCCACATCATGCTCTGTGCTGACAGCTCAGAGCCTGGAACCCGCTTCATATTCTGTGTCCCTCCCCTGCTCACGCTCTCTCTCTCTCTCAAAAATAAACCAAGATTTTTTTTTAAATTAAAAAAAAAAAACCTAGATTTTACAGGAAGGGCACAGGTGGGCCTATGATAAATTTTGGGAGCCTGACTAAAGTCTGGTCAAGTAAAGAATCTTTGTCACCACATACGGGTCCCTTTGCCTTCTCTGTGTTCAGCAAACACCATTGTCGTGTGTAACATCCACAGGGGTAATAAACTCCATTAGGCAAGATTATAATGTTTGCTTTCAGCACTCAAAACTGAAAAACCTCACGAGGAACAGAATAGTCAGTTTTATTCACCCAGGTACTTACCAACTCTGATGCTTTTATTTCATTTCTGAGCTTCCCTGTTTTCTTCTGGCATCACTTCCCTTCTGTCTGAGGAACGATCTCTGGCAATTCTTTTAATTCAGATCTGCTGGCCACAGGCTGTCTTGTTTTTTATGTAAGAGTGTCTTTGTCTCTTCTTCCATCCGTAACGTTACTCTCACTGGACCTGGGGTTCCGGGCTGATGCTCGGAAGGTGCTGTCCCGCTTCTCTGGCCTCCGCGGCTTCTGGTGAGAAGGTGGTGGTCGTCTGAGGTGCGAATCCGCTCTGGCCACTGCCAGGCTTTTCCTTTATCCTTGGTCTGCAGTGCTTGGATCATGATGTGTCTGAGCTGGCCTTTCTTTGGGTTTGTCCTTTTGGGGGTCCGCTGAGCTGCTTGAATCTGCGGGTTTCACCAGACTTGAGACTTTTCAGGCAGATTTTACCCACGACCCCTCTGGCTCCTTGCTGCTCGTCTCCTGGGAATCCGGTAGCAGGAATGTGGGCCCTTACAGCAGGGAGTAGGGTAGGGCTGGTTTTTCCTGTTGTTCAGATGGGCTGGGCCAGTTCTACTGACCGGTCTTCAAGTTCTCAGACTTTGCTTTGTGACCTCCGTGCTGTTACTGAGCCCATCCGGTGAATTTTTTTTTTACTGCTGTTACTGTGCTTTCCAATTCTAAAATTTCCTTTTGGTTTTGCTTTATAACGTTTCTCTCCCGGGGCTTTCAGTTTTTCCATGTACTTCTAGAGTGTTTGCCCTTCCGTTTGGAGCACGTTTTTAATGTCTGTCTTAAAGTCTTTGTTAAGGGCGCTTAACATCTGTGCCGCCCGGCCTTGTCCTGCACAGATGGCCTTTTTCCATAAGACTTGACATTTTGCTGGGTCTTCACGTGCTGAGTAATCTTGCGCCCAGGACGCGAGAGTATTATGTTATGAGACTCTGGGCCTTGTTTATTTCCAGTGGAGAATGCTGACTTTTTTACTGTTTTACTGTTACCCAGTGAGCTTCAGTCATCCGGCGCCAGCCTTCTCTGGGCTTGGGTGCCTGCCTGTTCATTTTCGGGGCCTTTGCCTCGCTGCCCTGTGGCCAGTCTGACCTTGGCAGTAGAACCAGGATAGAGGGCAGCAGTGGAAAAATGGGTGAAATTCAAATAAAGTCTCTGGTTCAGCTGAAAGACAAACGCTGCCTCCTGCAAGCAGGCTAGATGGCAGGTGCTCGGCTGGGCCCTGCACGTGGGGCCCTGTCCCCTTGGGGTGGGGTTGCTGTGTCTGTAGGAAGTGGGCTCAGGAGTCAGTAGACAGCTGCTGTGTCGTTCTTGGAATTCCACATTCTGTCCAGGCCTCAGACAAACGAGTCAGACAGTTTTACAGCCTCTTTTAAAGGGGTCTCTGATTTTTTTTTTTTAAAGATGGATGGTTCTTCCCCAGAATAAGTTCATTCCAGGCGGGAGTTGATAAGTCAGAGCACAGCACTGGCCTCGGTTCAGTCACCTTTGCCAGGTCCACCGACAGCTTCCCACGGGGCCCCTTGACGTGCTCGTCCTCTGCACGGTCTCCTGGCTTCACGGAGAGCCTCTCCGCTTCTTACAAAACCCAGTCTCCCTCCTGCCCTGCGCCGTGGTCACAACAGAGGGAGCCCCCTGCTTCCCAGGGCCACATGTTCTGGGCGCGCCCTCTCCTGGACCCCTGGGGCCTGCTCGCGAGCCAGCCTTTCTCGGTTGGCTCTCCGCTCAGCCTCCTTCTGACCGAGCGGAGGCCCCGCGGGAGCTGCCAGGACCCAGCTCCTGCTGCCGCCCCGGAGCGCGAGCCGGCCACGCACGCCTCCTCACACACACGTCCTGTGTGTGTGCTTTCTCCAGGAAGCACCCTGAAGACGGGAGTTTCATCAGGTGCCGGGATCACAGCTTTTACAAGTGGACAGGCGGCTCAAATCCAGCCAGGCTCCGGCTGGGACCTGGGTCAGTGACTCACGTCCTCCACTAGAGGACGGGGCTTTGTAGGACGAACGCGGTGCCTCACAGCTCCCCGCACAGCGCCGTCTGCCTGGGCTCTGGGACTGAGCGGTGCATTTCTCAGGGCACCCGGGGGCTCAGCTGCTTCAGCGCCTGATGCTTGTTCTCGGCCCAGGTCACGATCTCACGGTTCATGGGATTGAGCCCCGTGTCAGGCTCTGTGCTCAAAGTGAAGAGTCTGCTTGGGAGTCTCTCTCCCTCTCTGCCCCTCTCCCGCTTGTACACATGCGTTCACCCCCTTTTTTCCTCTCAAGTAAACATTTAAAAACAACAAGACAAGAAAGATGCATTTTTCAATCATTTCCAACAAAATGTCTAATTTTGGAAGGGTGCGTGTCTCCAGGGGTCACGAGGGAGGCAGGGGGAGCCCCACACTGCGAGGTGTGTGCTCTGAGGTACGTGTTTCCCTCCTGTGCTGCAGGTGACCCCAGGGTTCACGGAGAAGGAAGGAGAGCTCTTGGTCAGGGGGCCGTCCGTGTTCCGTGAATACTGGGACAAACCAGAAGAAACCAGAAACGCCTTCACCTGCGACGGCTGGTTCAAGACAGGTAGGAGGGGGGGCCGGAGGGAAGGGGACACCCCATCTTCAAGGCTGTGTCCCCACCCTGCCCCCAGAGCCCACCAACCTCTGAAATGAGGTCAGCAGTGAGGCTTGGTGGTCCTGCCACGTGCCGTGGGTCAGGAGCCCCCTGAGTGTCAGACACCCTCCTCACCCCTCCCTCCCACCTTCCCCAAGCCCCCCTGCTTTGTAAATCTTCTCGTCCCCCCGCCCCCCACGCAGGATCCTAGGTCCTTCTGATACTATGTGCCTCCTTTTCCATCTGGGTCATTTTACGTTGTTCTCCACACCATGCCTGGGTGGATTGTGCTGCTGCCTTGATGTGGGGGCCCCCACCCCCCAGCGGGACCCAGAGCCTGCTCAGGCTCCGTGCCCCGGCCGCTCCGCTGTCCTCACCCTTTCTGTCCTCCCCCCGCCTCCCCTCCTTGGTCCCAGCAGACCTTGTGAACGCTAGGTTTGCAACTACAGCAACTCACTTCTGTGTGTGCTCACTTAGAACATGTGCATGGTCTGCTTCTGGGTGGTTTCTCCTTTCCTTCTTGTTTGTCTGTATTTGTAAAACTTCTGTGCTGAGAATGCACCATTTCATAAGAATCTCAAGACACTGTTTTCCAAAAAGAAAGGCCTGTTTTCACATATCACCATACGCGGCCCCGTAAGCAGAAATCTGCCTCATTCCGTGCTCTCCTGTGGGGAGCAGAGCCGAGGAGAGATGGCAGGCAGCTGGAGCGGGGTGCCGTGGGGTCACCGTGCGCCTCTTAGGAGAACAGTGGCTGTGGCCCTGAGCCTCGTGGCCCCGCAGTGTGTGCCTGTGGCTGGCATTCGCGCGGGCACCTCACCGGGCTCGTGTCGGCGTGGATCTGTGGACGGCAGGATCACGTGTCCACTCTGATCTGCTGGTGTCGTGGGCCTGGGGTCACCGAGTGGCAGAGCGGGGACCCACGTAGACCCTGACGGTCTCGGGGTGCCGTGTGGGCCTGTCAGATGGGGGTTTGGTTTGAAGGGACAGATGAAGGATCTTCCGGGGGGGGGGAGGGCGTGGAGGTGTCCCCTTCCTGTCCCACTGGCCAGGCGGCACGTGGGTCCAGACTTGCTGGTCCTGCAGCTTCCGTGGTTCTGTCACTCGCCTGCAAAAGTGACATCCCAGCGGCCGCGGGTGGAGGCGTCCAGACTCCCCTTTCCCTCTGTGCCAGGCAGAGAAAGCAGGTGTGCAGATGGTTGTGAAGGGTTTGTAGAGGGGACGTCTGTCAGCCTTCGGAGCAAGGCCGGGCCCTGAGAACCCCGGCAGGTCAGCAGAGGGCTCAGGGGTCAGGACCCAGGAACCCTGGTCACCTGTTTCGGAACCTCCTGTCTCCACGACAGGACGTGGTCAGCACGTTAGCTCGCACCCGCGCGGTGTCCCTTTGTGGACACGGCGTTCACACAAGCCAGTCTCCTAGCAGCAAACCTCTCCGTGTCATTGTCTTTCAAATGCATTGTTTAAGAAACGCTTATTTTGAGCTAATCTTGTTGTCTGTAGCCCTCTGGATGGTCCCTGACTTGCTTTATGGCCGTCTTCTTTTATTTTTAAGTTCAGGTCAAAAGCCGCAGATGCTTTTTTCTCTAAAAACCCGGGAGCCCAAGCCCCGTGGACTTTGCCGGTGGCAGCTCCCTGGGCACCGGTGGCCACGTGCACAGTGTGGGCAGTCAGCGTGAAAGCATCCAGTCACTGCCGCTGATGAATATTTGCGTTGAAAAGGGATAGCCTGCATTAATTATTGTAAAGAGATGTCTTTAGGAGAAAATGATTTTGAAATTCAGTTTAATTTCATTGTAATGCGCTGCAAACAGGAAGGGAGTGTGTGTGTTTAATTGGCTCTCGGGGGTGAGGCCTGGAAGCCGTGTGCCTTTGTCACAGGCCATTAGCGATACAGGCTGCATAACGAGCGGGCGCAATCAGCTCACAGCTGCCGGCTCCTGCGGGGAGAGCATGATATTAAATAGAAATCAGGATAAATGAAACTTAACCCTTTCCCTGGCCGGCCCCTCCTGCCGTGGGGTTCTGGAGGGTTGCTGGGGAGCCGCTGCTGGCGGCTGCACGGGGAAGGGCCGAGTCCGCCGTGGAGGAGAGGAGAGAGGTCGCCGGCCATCCCTGCCCAGGTCCTGCCGCCTTCCCCAGGTGTGCGGGGAGCTCCCTACAAGCCTCCCCCCCACCGGGGTCGTGGCTGCCCCTCGGGGAGGAGATCCAGGGTCTCCTGAGAAACTCTCTGGCAGTCACAGTGACCCCTCCTGGCTCTCGTCCCGCCGGAGCGCCACCACGTGGGCTCAGAAACCATCGCACGTGGGCACCAGCGCTGGCCCGGGCAGGGGGCAGGTGATACCCCAGGAGCCAGGTGCCCTCGGGCCTTTATGTTAACTTACTGTTGGAGCAGAGGACAGAGGACACAGCTGAGGACACGGGACGGAGGTGAGGACACTGGGTGGAGCTGAGGACACGGAGTTGGGGACATCGAGCTGGGGACATAGAATGGACACGGGGACAGAGCTAGGCAGGCCTTACGCTTCCTGCTGCCTTTGATGCTTCCCCCGAGCAGTTTTGTGTCAGACACTGATAACTGATCATAAGGAAACAAAAACGGCCTGACTTTAAAAAATACTTCATCATACGCTGTTTAGCGTTAAGAAGGGACCTCACGAACCGTGCGTGCTAAGGACACATTGACGTGTTGGCTGAAGGTTGTTAGGGCGCGGGAAGCAAGTGCCCTGAGCAAATCCCCCAGAATACCAGCGGGTTCTTGCCTTCTTCCGCAGCGAGCACGCGACGTTATTACTGGGGACCGACAATACAGCGACTCAGCAGCAGGGCGACAGAGGGGCCCTGGCGGGCATTGGGGCACACAGGGGTCCTCTCCAGAGCCGTGCCCCCCAGAGGATCGCTCCCTGAGCCCAGGCAGCCCTGGGGCCGGGGGAGCCAGCAAAGGCGACGGACAGATCACAGTAGAGCAGGGCGGTTGGCCGTAAAAATGCATCAAATACGGTCTCGCTTCCTAGTGACGAAAGAGGAAAGCACAGAGACCGAGGTTTACTCCTTCGCCAAATTGGTAAAGCTTCTGAACGCTTGGCACTCGCCGCCATGAGGCTGGTACTTCCCCTCCTGCAGGTGGGATCGTGTCGGGAGTGTTTCTGCGAATCCGTCCAAGGAAATGAGGAGAGTGGGCAGAGGCGGGTGTGCAGATGTCCGCTGGGGCGTCATTGGTAAGGCGGGAGGGCAGTGATGGCGGCTGCCGGTCGTCAGGCGCGCCTGACAGTGGGTGTTGAGAGGCCTTTAGAAGCCGTGGTCTGGAGACCAGTGATAACATGCACTGGTGATGCGTGCCGTGCGCGTGCTGGGTTCCTGTGCGCTGAGCACACCGCCGGCCCCCGTCACCCGTGTGAGGGGCTCCCTCTTTGCCTGGGTCTCCGGCCCCCGGCGCTCCCACAGCGAGCTGCTGCTCTCACGGACACGGCGGGTACACGCGTGCTTACACTCCCCGCTTCCCTGGTGAAGAAGGACCCGGAAGGGCGCTCGGGCCCCGAGTCTGCCCTGCTCACCTCCCACCTCGCGGCTGCCCTGAGTTCTGGTTTGCTTCTCCAACCAGGGAGCTTCCGTTTTGGCCAGTAAGTCCTAGTCAGGACCTACACCCAGTGATGCCGTGCTGGGCATCGGCCACGCGTGTTCGTGGGTGTGGGTGCGTGGAAGGGAAGGCTGTCACCGACCTGGGAGGCGGGGTCACAGTGAAGGCTGTGCCAGGCGACGGGGCGCAGACTGCTCCTGGGGACGGTCTGCTACTGGTCCAGCCCCCGTGCTGGCAGCTCCTTCCTGAGTGTGTCATGTCTTTCATTTTTTGTCTTGCTTAAAAATCCTTTGTTTCCCAGGGCTCCCGGGGGTGCTGTCCTGTGTCATCTTGTGTCACTTGTCAGGCTCTGCTTTCATAAAGCTAAGTCTCAGACCCCCCGGACAGGCTCCTGTGGGCAGTGATGCGGAGGGCGCCCCCGTTGGATGTCGAGCTTCCGCCACCTGCGGGCCACCGTGCTGTTCCTTCGGCCCCACGCCCTGGGCGGCGGATGACTGTGAGTTTGCGGTTTATGTCAAAGTTGTACACGCGGCTTGAGGACCCCTGTGGCCCCGGCAGTCTGGGAGCCCGCCCCGGAGGCCCCGCCCTCAGTGCGTGGGGCACTGGGACCCGAGGCTCATGGTAACCGTGGTCCTTCCGACCTCGCCTCCCTGAGCAAGGCGTCTAGCGCCACCCCGCCTCTTGGGGGAGACCCCAGTGCCGGCCGCCCCCACCGGGCCCCTCCTGCACCCGCGGCCGCCTCCTTCCCTTCCGCTCCGGAGCCCAGGAGCCCCCTGACGACGGGCACGCGGGTGCACACTCGGGGGGCACGTGTGTCTGACGTGCTCATTCTTTCGGGCCGGTAGAGTTCGGGGTCGGAGCCTCCGCGTTTGCCGCAGCCGCGCCCTTCCTCACGCTGCACGGCCTTTCCCCTCTTTGCAATCCTGGAGAATCGTCTCCGTCCCAGACACCTGAAGTCGGACAAGCCGAGCGCCGAGGCCGCTCCGACTTTGACTCTGTCCTGATGCCGGTGCTCGGATCCCCACGGCCTGCGATTCTGGGAGTCGGTCGGCTGATTTTCTCCCCCTGGAGCCCGGCCGATGCGCAGGGGCTGAGAGCAGGAAGGGCAGGCGGGAGGCCGAGCCCCGTGTTCACAGGCCTCCTTCCCCCACGCACCCCCCCGCCCCGGCCTCCCCCAGCGCGTCCGCCGAGCCTCCGGTGCCGACCAGCTTCCCGGGGCGCCTGTCCACACCCTGCAGGTCAGCTGTTCCCGACCTCTGGGTCCCAGCTTGAAGTCTCCAGCGTTTCCTACCGTCCCTACTGAAGGCTTCGGGCCCTGGAAACGTGGTCACTCTTGGTTTTCTCGAGAGGGAGAGGGCCTAGCAGTGTGTGTCACACCGGCGGGCTTTAGGGGGCTCGTTCTCCCGGGAGTTGTGCCATTTCCTTCCGGCGTCTTCCTAGGCCTCTTCGCCACAGGAGTGAGTCCCCGGGCGGTGGGAGGGAGGCCGCCGCATGAGGGAGGAGCCGGGCCTCGGGGTCCCCCTCGTGCAGGCGGGTGACAGCGGCTCCTCTGTCTTTCAGGCGCCCAGCTGTCTGGGTAGCAGAGCCGAGGAGAGGGGCTGGCACGTGTGCCCCCCGCTGCCCGGCCTAGGCCTCCGTGCCCGCAGACGGACGCAGGAGCGGTAGGGGGGGAGCAACCCCCATCTCCCCAGGGACCAGGAGCCAAAGCCTGAGTCCCCGTGGCTGCTGGAAGAGCCAGCTGGTCCCGCCCCTGGGTCCATCACTTTCCTGCCCCGGATCCTGCACGGCCGAGGACGGTGTGCCCGCCAGCAGCCCAGGGTGCCAGGTCTGCCGCCCGTGCACGCCCACGCATCCGGAAAAGCAGCCTCCGGGTGTCGGGAGGTTTGTTTCCAATGACTGAGGTGGAGACAGGAAGTGGCCATGGCTTTGAGAGCGGTGCACACGTCCTGCTCAAACCCGCAAACCCGCACTAAGGTTTACGGGTGGTGATACCGCATCTGTCAGAATAAAACCCCCGCAGAGTAGGCTCCAGAGCTGAGAGGTAGGATGGTCACTGGCAGGGGACACGGATTCCAGAATCCGCGCCCTTTGATAAATACGTTGTTATAAAAAGTGAAAGTTACCAACTCGGTTGGGGTCTTGTGTGTGTGAGGCCCCTTCTGGGTGGCAGGCGTGGTCTCCCCGTGGGCCCAGCCTCTGTTGCTCTGCTGGGACTTACTTAGACCCGTGGCTTTTGTGCCCTAGACCCTTACGATGGGGCAGGAAGGGCCCAGGGAGTCCCCGGGGACACGCAGGAGGGTCCCAGATGCCTTCCAGCGACTGTTCACAGGGAAGCAGGGAATCACAAGCCCCGAGGATGGGCCCTGTGCCAGAGGGAACTCACAAGGAGGCCCCTTCGGACCGAGGTGTCGGGCCGCTGTGAGAAGGCAGCGGCCTAGCGGGTGCAGAGGCAGGTCCCGGGGACCGAGTGGGCAGAGCTGGAAAATTCCATCCTAGAAGTGTCCCTTCGGCTTTGTGAAAGGCGGCAAGGGACTTGGGATTTCTTCTGTGGGCCCCAGGAGGCCACCCCCTGCGGCTGGCAAGGCATCCCGAGGCGGCCAGCAGGCGCAAGGGTTCCCCTGAAGCAGCAGCAGTCGTGGGTGGGTGGCCGGAGTGAAAGTCAGCACTCAGTCCTGACCGTGCCCCAGGACCCGGTGTTCGTGTGCGCACTCTGGATGCAGAACTGGACCCCCCCGAGGCCCCCCCCGAGGCAGGCACGGGACTGGGCTGACTGCCCGTCAGCCGGCTCTAATGGAAGGATGAGGCTCTCGGCCCTGCTGCCTGGCCTCTCGCTGGCGGGCGAGGGGCTGCCTCCTTCCCCGACACAGAAGCCAGGTGCCTCGGGAAGGACATTGAGCCTGCACTGCCCTCTCTCCCGCTCAGCCTTCAGCATCAGCGGGTGGAAACCCCGTGTGCAGCCACGGCCTGCTGGGTCCGGTGGTGGCCCTGGCTGGTCTGCACGCATACGGGCACCTCCCGGGGTGGGGAGGCCTGGGGGGGCAGAGGCCTGCGGCTGAGGGAGTCAACCCACCACGAGCTGCCTCCTAGCACTGGCTGGGGGCGACGCAGGGTCGCGGGGCCTCGTGGGGCCCCACACGCACAGGTACAGAGTGGAGGGCCGGGTTCTCCTGCCGCCCTGCACCCCCATGCACCCTTCCCCCCCACCCCTCCGCCCCCGGAGAGCGAGGCAGGTGTTTGCCAGCAAGGGTGGAGCGCTGACACCTGAGGGGACCTCACCAGGCTCGTTGATTAGCACCTTGCTGAGCAATTTCCTGTGCTGGGTCTCAGTCCTGAGTTTAGTTCACAGATTCTTTCTTTAAGGACTTCTTGCTTCCTTGCGGGGTGGTTCAGACGCTGCGGTGACTTGGCCGTGAGCCCACCAGGGGAGGCCGGAAACTTCTCGGTAGGCCAAACAGCAATTTCTTAAAACTTTTTATTTGAAATAGGCACAGACTCACAGCAAGTGCAGATGGCGTGCAGGCCGGTCACCTTCACACCATTCCCCAGCGTCCTCGTCCCCCGCACAACACCAAAGCCCACCAGCCCTACACACACGTGTGCTCACTGCCCTCATCACAAGAGTAGATGCGGGGCCCCCTCCCTCCGCCCCCATCCCTGTGGTTTAGGGCGTGGCGCCGAAATAGGTCCTACAAGTGTACCCGGCATGGTTCCCGGGAAATCCGCGTCCTTCGGGCAGGCCTCCAGGCTCCACACCCAACTCCGCCTGACACGGACACTTGGGGAGCACGCGAGGGTGTCCCTGCAAGGAGGTGCGGCCCCATGGTGTGCGGCAGGCCTGAGCCATCCCGTGTCGGCTGTCACCGCCCAAAAACAGAACCCGTGTCTCCGCCGACCAGGCTCACCCCCATCTCCCCGGGGGCAGGGCTGGACGCTGGCCAGGTGGTGTCCACGGCGCAGCGGGGTCGGCACTGGAAGGAGTGGGCGTGCTGTCGAGGAGGCCGGGTGCGTGAACGCGTGGGGCGGGAGGGTGCTGTCCCGGTACCACCTGGGTCTGGGAGGCGCTGGTGTTTCTCACCGCCGTGAATGGCAGGCCGGTGCGCGGTGGGCGGGGGGCTGTGGGATCGGCGGCTTCCGGCAGGGCTGCGTCGCTGACTGCGAGGTCTGGGCGGGGGGCAGGAGGGGGGACGCAGGGACCAAGGTGGCCGCGGGGCCTGTGGGGTCCGCGGGGTCGGGGTTTGGACACAGTGGCCTCCTGCCAGCCACCATCTCTGCTGGACTTAGCCTCTGTTTCAGCCAGTGCCCAAGGAAATGGAGCAGAACGCCTGAGGGGGGTGGTGAAGGCCCTTGCTCTCTGGGACGTCCAGCAGCCTTGCGGGCCAGGCCTCCCACCTCTGAGTGTGTCACCGGGTTAGCCGGAGCCCCCACCCTTCCACCCGAGGTCCCGCACTCAGAACCGAGGTGCCTGGGGCCTCAGGGTCTCCAGGCACAGTGGGGAGGGGTCCCTGGGAGAGCAGGGCGATCCCATCCTGGTCCCCTTCGCCCCCGAGACCGTGGTCCCCCACCCGGCCCCTCCCCTGTCCAGGGCAGCGAGCCAGAGCCCTGGGCCTCCTTTCCCTGCAGTATGGCAGGGCAGGTGGCCTGGTGCACAGCGTCACCCGCCCCGGTGTGGGCACATGGGGCGTCTTCAGCAGGGACAGGAGCCTGAGCCCAGGGCAGGGTCGCTCGAGCCGCTGGGTCTCTGGGCAAGTAGAGATGGTGGGGGCTGGCCCACGAAAACTGCCGGAGGACCTGAGTGCCAGTATGGTGTCCCCTTCAGCAGCAGGAAGCAGTTACTGCTTGGACTAGGGCCGTTTGGGGTATTTAAGGAGCAGGTGGCCGGCGGTCAGAAAGCTCTCAGGAGACCACACAGCCATCCAGTGGGGAAGGGGTACAGCCAGGGCTGGGGCTGCACCCCAGGAATGGGGGGCACTTTGGGCCTTGCAGGACCCAAGACCCACTGCACCCACCCCCGTGTGCCTCCACACTTGGGCCCCTTCCCTGCTGGCCAGCCAGCCCCCCAGTCAGCTGTCCTGGGGCCACGACGCCCTTTCCAGTTGCACTTGCCAAGCCTTTGGCTTCTCCTGCTTCCTGTTGGCAGGGGAGAGCCCATCACGCCCGTGGCCCTGTGCTCTCGAAGCCTGGCCTTCCCGCGCCATCGTGAGCCAGCCGGCCGCCCGGCTGCCCACAGGCTTCCGTCTGGTTTAGGAGACCGGATCACGCCCTGCGCTGCTGCAGCTCGGGGCGGGGTGCAGAATGATGGATGGTGCCTTCCCGCACGGGCGGCGTGACTCCTAGTGAAACACTTATGATTTATTCGAGCCAGGAACCCGGCACGGAGCGCGGGGTGTGCGGTCGTCGGCAGGGCGTGCCAGCGCTGTCCTCAGAGGGCTGGGGGGGGGCATCCCCACGTGCACGTGCCCACACGTATTCACACACGTCGGCGCACAGACACACGCCCGCCTCCTCCGGGCCCTCACGTCCTGGGCTGGCACTCTCTGTCCCCACGCCACCCGCCTGCTCGCGCTAGGATGCTGGCGAGCATCATACTGCCCAGTGCTGCCCAAGAGAGGACCGCCGGGGGAAGCGGGATGGGGGACCACGAAGTCGGGGTGGGGGAGCGGGAGAACTTTCTGCTGCCAGAGACCTCGTGTGACTGCGCAGCCCAGGAGACCCCGCAGATGAAAGGCAGCTGCGGCGGGACCGGCCGCGCCGGGACCCGGCTGGGACCAGGAGCCCGCGGTGGGATGGCGGAGGCAGCTGGGCCTCGCTGCCTCTGTTGTCACGGGCCTGAGAAGGGGCAGCAAGAGACCGAGCTGGGTGGTGAGGGCACCAGCCACCGTGCCTCTGAGCCCTGGTCTCTACGGGCGGGTGGTCTCTATCAGCCCTTCTGGGACACTGCTGTCTAAGTGGGGACCTCAGGCTGAGGTCACAGCCGTTGGAACTCGGGCTTTGCCGCCTTGTCCTGAGACCCCGCATCCACCACCGTCCCACGGGGTCACCACGTGGCGGGGGGGTGGGTATTGCTCCCAGACACGGGCACCCAGCCGCGCGTGTGCACCTGTAAACACGCGTGCCTGCTGGTGACCAGAGCCCCTTCCCTCAGGCGACACAGCCGTGTTCAAGGACGGCAGGTACTGGATCCGGGGTCGCACGTCCGTAGACATCATCAAGAGCGGTGGCTACAAGATCAGCGCCCTGGAGGTGGAGCGGCTCCTGCTGGCGCACCCCAGCATCACAGGTCCACGGCGCCCCCACGCCCCGCCCCCACGTCTGCTGGGGCCCGCCCACCTCCTCCCGCGCCACCTCCTCCCGCGCCACCTCCTCCCTCGCCACCTCCTCCCTCGCCACCTCCTCCCTCGCCACCTCCTCCCTCGCCACCTCACACAGCCCCTGTGCTCAGGAGCACGGCCCCAGGGAGGGCTGGAGCAGAGGCGTGGGCATCTGGAGCTGTGTCCAGAGGCACCGGAGGTTGCGGGTCCAGGAAGCTCCTGACCTCGGGTCACAGGTTGTGAGGACCCTGAGGACGGCAGAGGCTCCCCAACGTGACCCACTCTGGACTTGTCGTTGTGCCCAGTCCTCTTAGTGACTGTTTCCTGGGGCCGTGCAGGGAAGGCAGAGACATGGGAAAGATGACCCCCACCCTGAGCTCCATCCAAGGGCCATTGGGGACCTGCCCCCCCCATCCCCAGCAGGGTGACCCCGTGCTGACCCCACGCCCCTTCCAGGTGGCTGCTAAGTGGAGCTTTTCCCGGGCTCTTGCTTCGGGGCCCCCATCCCAGGCGTGTCCCGGGCCCGTGTTAGCCATCGTGGCATTTCCAAGGCGTCCCTCCCTGCTCTTCTGTCCACAGATGTGGCTGTGATTGGAGTTCCAGACATGACATGGGGCCAGCGGGTCACCGCAGTGGTGACCCTTCAGGAGGGACACTCACTGTCCCACAGGGAGCTCAAAGAATGGGCAAGGTAGGGGCAGGCAGGCAGCGGTCCTGCTGTTGGGGGAAGGGACAGGTGGGGGGTGGGCCGTCCCGAGGTTGGGGGAGGGGTGGAGGGGGTCTAGGGGCCAGGGGGAGTCTGAAAGGTCAGGTGACATGTTACGTTCCCCAGGCCGCCCCCCCCCCCCACACACACACACAAGGGGCCCCAGGAAAGGTCTGTAATGGCAGGTAGGACAGAGGTAGAGAAACAAGGATGCCAGGTGGGAGCCCCCGTCCTTCCAGCGGTGGGACAGGGTGCATGCTGGGGGGCCTCTCCAGCCTTCCAGAGGAATCTGTGGGCAGGGCGCCCCCTTCTCCCTTCCCCCTCCCCGGGCTCCCTTCTGTCCGCTGAACACAGGGATTTTGCACGTGCTCCTTGGGAGTCGGGGCCAGAGCCCTCCCGTCCTGCGCCCCGACCTTAGCCGCAGGCCCGTCCCTCACCATGTGTCCCTTTCCCGGGAGCCTCTGTGCCATACGCCATGACCCCGGGGCCTCTGTGCCTGCCAGCCTCACAGGCCCCCTTCCCTGTGTCTGCGGTGCCCCGTGATCCATCGGGCTGGGAACCGACGGGCAGGGACCAGGGTCTGGAGGCAGCTCAGAAAGGAAGCTACCAGTAATGGCCCCAGATTCTGGGGAGTTTCTCCTGCCCGTACTCTCTCCCCTGCAACCCCTTCTTCCCGACTTGCCTCCCTCTCCTCAGCACTAAGATCTTTTTAGCTCATCCAGCATGATTTCACAAACAGCAAGAGAGCCTTGTTTCGTGAGGGGCAGCACAGCTGGGCCAGGAGCTTCCCCTGGATTTTCGAAGTCACAGTTGGAAGAGTCGGTTTAACAAAGGAGAAGGTTCTAGTGGCTGTAGCTGCTTTGATTAGACAAATTACTTTGTTAAAGAGAAGAAAGCACACACCCTGAGCTGAGCTCTCTGCGGAGACTGTCAGGGCGCAGTCTTGGCCGCCCCCGTGTGGGGAGCCCCGCACCCCAGGGCTCGTGTCCACCCCGCAGGTGTGTGTGCACACGCCTGGCTCGGGGCCGGGGAGGACGTGGGACAGGCTCTCCGTGCTCTGGGGGATGCACACGCCTGGTCGGGCTCTCTCTGCTCCGGGAGGCCCCCTGGGAGGCCAGGGCAGGCGGCTGACCTGCCGTCTCTAGGACTGTAGCACAGTGAGGCCGGTGTCCGGGCCTCTGTGTCCTCAAGCGGGGCAGTCACTGGGCAGTGGCACGGAGGCCACCCACCCCGTGGAGGGAGAAGAGGGATCTTCCTTCCAAATGGGCAGGTCTGACTCTGGACCTCGGTTCCAGCTCTGCCGGATGAGGCTCTTAGTGAAGGTTCTCTCTCTCTCTCTCTCTCTCTCTCTCTCTCTCTGTGTCATGCTCAGTGCCGTTTGGGAGTCTTTCTAAAGGTTCTTTCAAATAACATTTTCCTCTATGCTCCCACGTTTTTCCTTTCTGAAGATTCCACCCTCACAGACTCCACTCCTCACGGAGGGCTGACTTCCTCTCTGTGCTGCACCCGAGCCAGACCTGGGGGCTCAGGCAGCACGTCCCCTCGGAGGGGATGAGTGTGGCCTGGGACGGGGCGACAGGGCCACGTTTGCAGGGTCTGGGACGTGGACCACCCACTACCCCTCCACCCCCCAAATACCAGGTCGGAAAGGGGTGTGGATTTATTTACACACCAGGGAAGAATCCGGGGTCTGTGCTCTTGAACCACAGTGTTGACGTCTGATGAGGCCATTGGCTTAGTGCCTGCTCGGGAGAAGCACCGTGAAGTAGCGGGTTGGGGGGAGGGACACCTCCGCGTCCACGCGTCCGTTTCCCCAGGAAGCCTGCTGTTAGCAAACAACTCCGCAGGATCCCCGTCTGAGAGCACAGCTTGCCTTCGGTGATTCTGAAAGTTTCCCGCTTGGCCAGTTGCTGAGCTGAGACCCCCTGGCAGAGGCTGGGGCAGCACACCCCACCGTCCCCAGGGTCAGAGTCCTCGGTCCAGAAGGACTGCTGTCTTTGGAAATGGCAGGGCCCGCAGGATTTAAACCTTCCTGCATCCTTCATCACACCTTTAGATCGCTTTCTGATTTTCATGGCTTTTGGTCCTTTTTTCAAAAGTGGCTGCTAAGTTAGGGTTTGTAACACTGGGCTCTAACTTAACACCATTTGGCCCCCCCCCCCCGGTGACGGCCTGCCCCTCCGTGCGAATGCCGCCCCCGATGCACACTCACCCACACTGCGTTCTTCACTCTGCTGACCCTCGAGCCGCTGACCCCTGCGCAGTCGAAACTCTGTGTGTTCTGACCCCGAAGACTTACCTGCTAACGGCTTGCTGTTGAGCAGAGGCCTCACCAATAGCCGTCGATGAACGGCACTTTGTAGGTCGTGTGTCTTACTGTGCTCTTACAGCCCGGCGGGATGCAGGGAAGAAATGTTAGGAAAATCACAAGGGAGAGAAGATATATTTACAGTCCTGTGCTGTATTTATCGAAAAATTCCACTGACAAGCGGATTCATGCAGCTCAAACTGGTGGTGTTCAAGGCTCAGCTGTATTTCTGTTCGAGCATCGGCTCTCAGAGAGGGCTCAGTCACAAGGAAGTGATGCGTGTTTCCGTCCTGTGCCCCCAGGCCTGCCTCTGCCTTCTCTCTCTGGGCCGTGGCACCAGCTTCGCGCTGGCCTGCCGAAGGGGACGCAGGGGAGGGCCACCCACAGGCACTGGAGGCACGGGGTTTGGGCAGCGGGGTGGGGGGCTGAGAGGGGCTGCGTCCCTGGATCGGACCTCCAGGTTTGCCCTGCCATGCTCCAGAGCCCCTCCGGCAGTCCTGGTGGCCTCGCAGCAAAGTCCAGCCCAGCTGCCTGTGTCCTCTGGGCCCTAGTGGGCAGCTGGCCGTGTGTCGAAGTTGCCGGGACCATAGGTGGGCCCCCCTCTCCCCTCACGAGCCAGCATCTGAACCCCGAGCCCCCCCAGAGTAATGATGCGTTCAGTGTGGTGTTGGTGACGCTCGCTGCCCATGGCCAGATGGACACAGCCCATGAAGACAAGTGCGTGTTCATGAGCACCCGGCCGCTAAGGCTGAGTTTTGGGAGTTCTCTGCCACGGCCCCTCACGAGCTCACCACGACCTCCCCGGCGGCTGAGATGCCCCCACAGCTTGCAGACCAGAGGCCACACGTGCCTGCTGGCCCCAGGTGGACATTGGGATGCTGTGTCCCTCTGGCCTGAAGCTTGTGGTCAACAGCCCCAGAGAGTGGAGCTCAGTGGCCCGGGAGGCCAGGAGCTACTGTGCTCTCCTGCCCCCGCTGTCTGGCCGAATCCTGTGGTCTCCTCACGAAGGGGCAGGTGGCTCAGACAGGGCCTCAGGGGAGCCAGTGCCTACGGCCCGAGGAGCAGTCCCAGAGCAGAGCCCGGGGGTGGCAAGATCCTACCACGTGGCCACTCACAGGAGAACACGCCATCAAACGGGGCCCCTCGTGGGACTGCGGGGTGCAGGGAAGGCAGCACCAGCCCGCGAGGGGCCCCCGGCCCTGCCCGCCTGCCCGTTCCATCCATCTGGCTGCAGCCCTGCAGCCCTGCCCTGCCCTGGGAGGACTGACCCCTAGGAGGGCTCGTCCTCTGCCCACGAGGGAGCCTGGAACCCAGGCCGAGGCAGCTCCCTCCATGTTGCTGTCCTGCAGCGGGGTGCCCTTCCAGAGCCGGCTCGGACGTGGCCGGGCTTCAGGGCCCCGTGGGACATCTGCCCACCTTGCAGGCTCCCTGTTGCGTTGGGAGGGGGCTGTCCGGGCCCCAGTGCCTGCCACTCAGACGCTGCTCCTTTCTGCAGGGGCGTCCTGGCCCCGTACGCCGTGCCCTCTGAGCTGCTGCTGGTGGAAGAGATCCCACGGAACCAGATGGGGAAGATCAACAAGAGAGATCTCATCAGGCAGTTCTACCCGAGTGACCAGGGTGCCCCGAGGCCAGGCGCCGGTAAGCCAGCGTCCCCTGTAAACTAGAACCCCCCAGATCAGAGGGAACAGTGCCGGGGCTAGCAGAAATGAGATCACAGTGCTGATTTTTCAGATCCGATGTGACCCCCTGTCGCCTCTGCTGCGTCCTCACAGCCACACCTGCACCGAGCGTAGCTCCCTGTGCTGCCGTCTGCTGGGCAGGTCCCTGCAGCGTCCAGCGGCATGCCCCAGGGCAGCGGGCCTCCAAGCAAAATTCAGTAAAGTCTGTGCAAAGACAAGCATGTGCCGTGCTGTCTGCCCAGGGGCACAGGGGGCACCGCGTGCCGGGTACAGAAGTCCTGCCTCTGTGTGCACAGCCGAGTGTCTCCCACACTCTGGGCTGTCCATGTGGCCTCCCCAGGTGACCTGTGACCCCTCCAGGCCCTCCCGGCTGGACACCCGACTGCTCAGAGAAGCCAACCGGGAGAGTGGGCCTGGGTATCCTGGTGGGGACAGCCCGGCACCGTGAGCGCGGCATCACCAAGGGGCATCCCTCTGCACAGGGCCAAGCGGACCGCCACGGGGACTCAGGGCTCGGAGCAGAGTGCCTGGATGCTGTGCTGGCGGCCACATGTGGCCCCATGATCCCCCACAGGAGCTTTCTAGACCAGGGGCCGGGGGGCCTCTGTGATGGATGAGCCAGGGGATCCGAGTTTCTGGCTCCGTGGCCACGCGGCCCCTGTCGCTGTCGATCCTGCTGTTTGTGTGAAAGTCCGGCTGATGGGCCGACAGCTGCCCTGCCTTGACCCACCTATCTGTGCCACGCCCTCCCTGGGGCCCCACGGCACCCTTTTGCGTCCGCCCCACAGCCCTGCACCTCTGCTCTTACTGGTGCTGGCTCTGGCACATGGGTGCCCCACCCACACTGCAAGCAGAAAATCCAGAAGCTTCTGGATAGTTTATCGGAGACCACAGCAGCTGCTGTGCCGAAGACTGCTGGAGTCTGGAGCTCTTTCTGAACGTTATGTGCCCGGAACGCTTGCCTAAAAGACCAGCAAAATGGGGCTAGGGGCGGGAGGGGCCACTTTGGCCCTGGGCAGGGGCCAGGTGCTCGAGACGCTGTGGAAGCCGGCCGACTACTCCCCTACTCCCGCGCGGTGTGCGGCCTGGCTCCCCGAAAGCCTGACCCCAGGCGTGGTGTTTGCTCCAGGGTGACCAGCCCATGCTCCTGCCTGAGCCCGGGACACGCACACCAGTCACTGCCTGCCAGGCAGGCTGGCCACCGGAAGGGCTCAGCTGGCTGCCTGCCTGCCGTCCGACTCTTCTGGGGGGGTGGCCCTCGGCACCACACGGGACAGCGTGTGCTCAGGCTGGCCCTGGTCTGGCCTTGTAACTAGGGAGCCACCTGCCACTGGGGGGAATCAGATCGAAGGTTGCAGGGTCTTTAATCCTGAAAGCTTTGATTCCTGAAACCATTCACAAAATTATTTAGTTTATGCTATACTCTGTATCAAATACCTTGAAAGCCTAATAGTCACCTTCTACTAACAAGACCACAGAAGGATGTTGGCTTGTTTCGGGAACATATGCCTCTGAGGACACGGAATGCCGTGTCCTCCTTGTCCGTGTGACCGAGCATGGCGAAGCTTCCCCCTTGGCTGGACAGCCCTACGCCGTCCTGCGCGCCACTCCCAGAGAAGGGCCAGGAGCAGGTGCCTGAGGTTGGCCGTGGGCAGCTTGGTTAGCGGCCGCTGGTGCCCCTGGCCCCCTCACCCCCAGAGGGACTCCTGCGGAGGCATCAGCCGCCCTGGGGCTGAGGCTGTTGGAGGGCAGCAGGCGGGCCCCGGAGGGAAGGAGCACACACAGCTGGTGTAGACGGCACAGGTCCGCACCCACACGTACGGGCACCGGGGCCAGCAGAAGCCGGGCCCCGTGACGTGGGGGAAAGGCTGGAAACAGCCTCGTCTCTGCCTCAGTTTCCCTCTTCGTGACTTGAGGCTGGCATTTCCTTAGGGCTCTTCTGGCCAAGGACTGAGGGCTTTGCTTCCTTGGAGCTCAGTCTGTGGAGGCTGGTGGTCCCAGCGTGGCCTCCCACCTGAGCTCCCTCAAGGGCTGGCCCAGCACAGGCCAGGCTGCCGTGCGCCCCCCGACCACGTCCGCCACGGGCACGGCTGTCGCCACAAGCCTAATCCCTTTACCGGCCACCGTCAACAGCGCAGAGTCCCCGACGGTCAGGGACTCTCTAGGCCACGGCCACTGCTGTCCACGCTCAGATCTTTCCGTGTCTCCCCTCTGTGCCCTGGGGCCTCCCCCTGCCACCTTCACACGTGGCATCTGGCTTCTCCTGAAACCCTCCTCCCACGCCCCTCCGAGGGGCACGGCGGGAAGTGAGACCGGACGGACACCAGACGAGAGTAGAGATCCTCTGTGTGGCACCCTCGGGCCCAGGACGGATGCCTCTCCCGTCGGGACGGGGGCGAGTCCCCACAAGGGCCCTGGGATCGGACTCTCCAGCTGAGGGCAGGGGCAGTGGGGCCCCCCCACCAACAGGTGAGCGTGGGGCGCCCCCAGCAGCCCGGGGCAGGGGCCAGGTGCCCGAGGGAGGAAGTCGTGCGAGCGCTCTGAGCGCCCCGAGAGCCGGGTCCTGGGGCGCTAAGGCTGGGGTTCCCGTCTGGGAGGGTTGGAGACCGGCCCTGCTCGCTGTGTCGGGAGGACGGCGTAACCATGTGGAGCGGGGCAGCGCCTGACGGATGGAGGCAGCCCCGTGTGGGAGACGCGTGCCTTCAGGGGCTCGGGCCACAGCCACGCCTGCGCACGCACGAGCCCTGTGGCCAGGGTCGGGGGGTCCTTTCCCAAGAGCCCCTGGAACGGCTGAAGCTCTGAAAGCCAGACTCCGTTTCTGTTTTCTCTGCCACGAGGTGGGGGGTGGGGTGCACCCTGAGTACGAGGGAGGGAAGGGCGGCGGCCCCACTCAGGTCCCCCCTGCGGGCAGCAAACCCGACCAGACTGGCCGCGCTCCCGTAGCCCGGCTGTGTCGGACAGACGCCCCGGGTGTTCCCAGCCTGTTGTCCAGACAAACGGGTGCCGTGTGGTGGGCGACGGCCCAGGGTCCCAGGAAGAGGGAGGCCGGGTGCAAACCACTCTCTGTCTGGGGGTGAGGTCAGACGACTAACCAAGGCCAACAGCAAGGCCGCCAACAGACGCGTAACCGTGCGGGTACGGTGGTCTGGGCGGGAAGCCGTCTGCAGGGAGGTGGGGCTGCCGGGAGCCCAGAACCGATCGGCAGCCAGGAACTGCGGCAGCAGGGCCATCCCTGGGGACCCAGAGTCAGACACTCTGCCGGCCGTGGATGCCTCTAGAAGCCGGGAGAGAGGGGAAACGGATCGTCCCCTGGAGCCTCCAGGAGGAAGCAGCCCTGTGACATCTCAGCACATGAGCCCCCAGCCTGAGAGGATGAGCGGCCCCCAGGAGCATGGTGGCAGTCTCCCCTCAGCTGGCAGCCTCTGGTTCCTGTGGACTCAGCCCCTCCACGCCCACGCGGCCGTGACCGTGACGGGTGCGGAACGTGGCAAGCGGGTCGGGGCACAGGAACAAAGGAGTTTGGGGAGGGTCTCCAGGCACAGTCACTCAGCCGGGACAGGAGGCCCCAGCTGTGTCCTTGCCAGCACCTCCCAGCAATCCTTCGTTCGCTTCCCTCTTCTGGGTCCCAGGTCGGGGCCGTTCGGTGGGGAAAGCACCGAGGGGGCGGCCAGGGCACCCGCACGACAGCCCACGTGCCTCTCAGAGCCTGTTCCATGGGCAAGGCAGGGACAAGCGCCCACGCCTGAGGCAGAAGGACTTGGTGGAAATCCCATTCCCGAAGGTCCCTCCCTGTGCCTGGTGCAGGCGGCAGGCTTGGCAAGGGGTTTGCTCCTTGGCCCTCAGCCCCGAACAGGTGGCTTTTCTGGGTCCTCTATCCAGGGGCCCAGCCCCAGGAGCGGGGGCACGGGAACAGGAGCTCAGGACGGCCGGGGGCCCGGGGGGCTCAGGCTGCATCTGAGAAGCGGGGCCCTTCCTGCAACGCAGCCACGGCCCAGCACAGAGCAGGTACCAGGAGGGCAGCTCCCACCTGACCTGTTCTCCCCCGAGACCACTCGGCCCCTCTGAGGGGGGCTGGGGCAGGTGGCCGGCCAAGGCCCTCCCTGAAGGCCCCACCCCCCTGCATCTGCTGGTAGGTGGAGTTTCCCCACCGCGTGTCAAGTGTAAGGGAGTGAGCACATGCCTGCAGGGCAGGGCGTCCTTGTGCACGTGTGTGCATGGTGGGGACTGCGTGTAGGGTCCACGCATGTGCGTGCTCCTGCACGTAGTGGCCCTGGCCCCACCGCAGCCCCTCCCACGCGGGCCGCGTCTCGTCATCGGCTTGCCAGTCACGTCGTCGCTAACAGTCTGCTCGTAGATACACGGCCGTCCAATTACTCCTTAAGGGTTACAGGCCATTAAGCTGTCAGTCTGCTTCATTCCGGCCCATCGGCGCTGTCCCCACCAGCACACAATAACCATTAAAATGACACCAGGAACAAGCAGCCGCGCCCACACGGCGTCCGTGACGTTCCCATTAGCGCCTGCCTCAGTGAGGAAGGGCCGCTTCTGAGAAGACGATGTCACACTGCACCAGCCGGACGGGCGGCCCGCTGAGCAGACACACTGATGGGTGTATACACACACACATAGGTACGCTCACAGACACAAATGTTTACAAACAACACCGATCTGGGCTCTGAAGCCTCCTGCCAGGTGTCGGCTGCCCCTGGGCCCCCAGTGACCAGTGAGGGCCAGATCAGGGTCAGGGATAGCTCAGAGACATGCTGGGAGCCGGCAGCAGCTGGCATGGGGCTCCAGCCCGGGACCCTGTCGCCCCTAAGCAGCCTGCATGTGGACCCTGCTCCTCCCAGCCCCAGAATGGTGACATCTCTTCACAGTGGCTCAAGTACGTTTTTCAGAACCACTTTAAACACTGAGGACGGAAGAAAGAAGACCGGCCAGTGCCGTGTCCACCCGGCCTGTTGGGTCTTAGCCTCGGGCAGGACTTGCCTCAGATCCTTTTCGAGAAGTAACGACAGCGGTCCCGGCTTCCGTCCCACACTCAGGAGCTGAACACACGGTGCCCGGTGCTCGTGATATGTTCTCTCAGAGTGACACAAATCTGCCACTGAGTTCATGCTGTTCTGCTGCTGGCTGTGTTTGTGGACCTAAGCTCTGAGTTGCCATGCAGAGGCCCACCCGTCTCACGGGTGGATTGCATGGTCGTAGGCACAGGCCTCTTCCCAAAAAGACCATGTCGTGTAGACAGCCTCCAGCAGACAAGACGCCATATCTCACCTCCACGCAAAACAGACAGACTTTAAATCTTTGCCACGGTGCTCGGTGTCAAATAGGATCCCTTTATTTTAATTTGTACTCCCCTAATTGCTGCTTAGGTGGAGTATTTTGAATACGTTTATTGTCCATTTGAATTTTTTATTCTGTGAATTGCCTGTTCGTGTTCTTTGCCCATTTTCGAGTTGGTTGTTGGTAATTTTCTTGATTATGCATTGGTTGCGTGGCTTGCCTTTTTTTTTTTTTTAATTTTTTAAACATGTATTCATTTATGAGAGACAGAGAGCACAAGCAGGGGAGGGGCAGAGAGAGAGGGAGACACAGAACTGAAGCGGGCTCCAGGCTCCGAGCTGTCAGCACAGAGCCCAACGCGGGGCTCAAACTCACAAGCCATGAGATCATGACCTGAGCCGAAGTGGGACACTTAACCGACTGAGCCACCCAGGTGCCCCTTGCCTTTTATTTTTTTAATGGTGTCTATTGATGTGCAGAATTTTTAAATTAAAAAAAATTTTTTTTTCAACGTTTTATTTATTTTTGGGACAGAGAGAGACAGAGCATGAACGGGGGAGGGGCAGAGAGAGAGGGAGACACAGAATCGGAAACAGGCTCCAGGCTCTGAGCCATCAGCCCAGAGCCTGACGCAGGGCTCAAACTCACGGACCGCGAGATCGTGACCTGGCTGAAGTCGGACGCTTAACCGACTGCGCCACCCAGGCGCCCCAGAATTTTTAAATTTTAATGTGTTCACAAGCATTCAGGTTTTTTATGGTTTGAGTTTTTCTTGTCTAAAACTTCCTTTCCTACCCCAAGTTCTTAAATACACTTTCCCGTGTGTTTTTCTAAAAGTTACAAAGCTTTGCTTTTCCGTGTAAACCCTTCATTCATTGCAAATTCATTTTCACACGTTGTGTGAAAGGCCCTGATTTTTCCCACGTGGAGTGACCAGTGTTTCCTTCTGTCCACTGAAGCACGTGGGCCTCCGCTCTCTGCCCAGCATCCGGGCACGTCCCGCTCCAGGCTGTGCCGCCCTCTGCCCTGTTTCCGAAGCCGAGGCGCCTGTTAGCACACGGCACCGCTATTTCCTTCTTCAGAACCGTCTTGGCTGTTCTTGGCCCTCTGCTCTTACGCCAGAATTTTAAGAGCAGCTTAAAGTTCCTTTTTAAAGAACCTTATTGGGGGTGATGGGATTTATAAGTTAACGTGGTGACATCTGACATCTTCACGAAGGTGCACCCTCCCGCCCACAAACACGGCCCAGCTCTGTGTCGTGGGCTCCTTCCTGTGTTGTTTTCCCAGTAATAATCGTGCCCGTCTTTCGAGAGGGTTGGTCACAGGTCCTTCTTGTTTTTGTTGAGATCCCAAGTGGGACTTTTCATCCCGTGTTTTAAGTGCTCGCTGAAATGGTTTGTGTGTTGCATTTCCATCCTGCGGCCTTGCTCGCTTCTTGGCGGGCTCCTCCCGCGGGTCATCAACGCCTGCCCGTTAGCAGGTCACGTCTCCTCCTGTGACTCCCCACTCCTTCTCCTCTCATCGCGCCACTGAAATGCCCAGTGGAATACAGACCAGGAAAGGGGGTAGATGGCCCGGAGCCACCCTCCAGCTCTGCAGGTGAGTGCAGGTGGACGCCTGACGCAGATCAGCACGTTCATTGCTGAGATGCTCCGGGAACGCACGCTGAATTTCACCGAAATGTTTCCTTCTCTATTAAATTGGCCATCCCGTCTGTCTTTGACTGTTTTTTTTTTTTTTTTTAATTTTTTTTTAAAGTTTATTTACTTATTTTTGAGAGAGAGAGGAAGCAGGGTAGGAGCAGAGAGAGACGGCAGAGAGAATCCCAAGCAGGCTCCTCGCGGTCAGTGCAGAGCCCGATGAGGGGCTAGAAACCACGAACCATAAGATCGTGACCTGATCTGAAGCCAAGAGTCGGACACTTAACCGACTGAGCCCCCCAGGCACCCCCGTCTTTGTTACTCTGGACCCTGCTGATGGTATTGTGCACCGAAGCATAGTCGTGTCCCTGGAAGAAACCCTGCGGGGTCACAGTGTGCAGATGGGGTCAGGGGGCCTGAGTTGTACTCCGTTTAATGCGACTATTGAGCTGGCCCTGTGGTTTCTGATCTACAATTCCAAAATCCAAGAAGCTTTAAAAACCAAAGTTGCCTTTTTTTTTTTTTTTTATGTTGGGGGTAAATCGATCTGGCAGATGCTGCACAGTTAAATGTTTGTGCCCCCTCCCAAATCCATACGTTGAAAGTGACCGGCCGGGGTGATGGTGTCAGGAGGTGGGGCTGTGGGAGGTGGTGAGGTCATGACGTGGGATTCGAGCACCCTGGCCACTCTCGCCTCATGGGGACGTGGCTGGAAGACACGGCCGTGAGCCCGGACGCCCTTGCGGGACTCAGAATGTGCTGGACCCTACACCGCGGCCCGGCCTCCCGAAGGCCACCTGACCTTCCCCCAGTGGCTTCGGCCGGGCCGTCCCCTGCCTGGCCCGTCAGGCTCGTTCTTGTGAATACAGCCCGGTGCTGAGGCACCACTGAAGCGTCTTCGTGCTTGGCTATGGGGCACTTCTGGTTCCAACTGTCGTCATTTCTACTTTGACTTAATCTCTTAATCCGTGAGTTACCTGGGAGCGCCTGTCAGCCCGCCGAGCTCCTCCTGCTCTCCCGCCATCCTGCGCGCACAGGCCTGTGGTCCCGGGTCTTAGAAACCCAGGCACCTTTTGTGCCCCCTACGCGGTCAGCTTTGCTCCAGAGCCAGGTGACTGGACACGTGACGGTGTGGTCATCTCGGGGTCAGCCTCCCCTCCGGGATGCGGCCTGTTCAAATCTGCACACGGCAGGCTGCTTTGTCTGTCCTTCCTATGTCTCAGCGCTAGGTTCTTCGGCCCTTTTATTCTTGATTATTATGTATTTTTGCTGGATTGTTAGTTAGCATTTCTATACCTATTCGTGTTCTTTCCAGAAGTTTTCTTTTTCTGAGAAATCTTGCTCTTCCCCTGTTGGGGGCACAGACAGACCGTCTAACCCCAAGCCATTTCTTCATGGGCTCCGTTTGGTTTCAACGTGTCTGCCGTGAGCAGAGAGCCCACGTGTCTGACTCCAGGGGATGGCTTGTCTTTTAGTTACTGAATGTAGGCCATTTATTATGACGATTTGATGTATTTAAATAGACTTCATCCCGCAACCATTTTTTTTTTTTATTTTTTAAGGTTTATTTATTTTTGAGAAAGAGAGCCCAAGCAGGGGAGGGGCAGAGAGAGAGGGAGACACAGAATCCAAAGCGGGATCCAGGCTCCGAGCTGTCAGCCCAGGGCCCGACGCGGGGCTCGAACCCACAGACCACAAGATCATGACCTGAACCGAGTCAAACACTGAACCGACTGAGCCCCCAGACGCCCCTCATCCTGCAACCTCTACTTTGTTCTCTTTGTGCATTTGGAAATTATAAATTAAATTTCTGGGGCACCTGGCTGGCTCGGTGGGTAGAGTATGCAACTCTTGATCTCAGGGTCGTGAGTTTGAGCCCTGTGCTGGGCATGGAAATTACTGAAAAATAATAATGGTAAGGGCTCTTGGGTTGCCCAGTTGGTTATGCATCTGACTTCGGCTCAGGTCATGATCTCACTATTCGTGGGTTCAAGCCCCGCGTCGGGCTCTGGGCTGACAGCTCGGAGCCTGGAGCCTGCTTCGGATTGTGTGTCCCTCTCTCTCTGCCCCTCCCCTGCTCGTCCTCTATTTCTGTCTGTCTCAAAAATAAATAAACATTAAAAATTTTTTAATTAAAAAAATAATATAAATTAAATTTCTGTTGAGTACCCTTAAATTTTTTTAAATGCGTACTATAACACTCACAGTTCTTTTTCCAAGTTTGTAGTTACGCAGTAGGCGGGCCCTGTGGCCAGGATGTAACCTTCCTCCCTGCCCCTCCCATCCTGATACACTTCTAGAGTTTCAGTCTTGTTTTGTTTTGGAAACAAAAATTAATAGGCTTGTTTTTACAGCGACTGGATAAATTTAGTGATGTTTTCTGAATTTCTTGGCTCAACGGATTTCTTGTCATAAATAACGCTCACTGATGTTTTGGCAAGCATCTCTGAGTGGTCAACCTGCGTGGCCTCCGCACACCCAAGCCTCTGTTTTGTCGTCACTCTTCAAAGACGAGCTGCCCGTGAGAGGCCTGAGAAAATTAAAACTTAAAAGCTTAAGTTACGGGAAACTGAAACTTAACAAAGCTTAACCAGCTTGTTCCGCTTCTGTACAATTGCTTGGCACGCCCACGTATTCCTGATCAATCATAGTTGCCTGGCACAACCGTATATTCTTGATCAACCATTGTTACTTGGCACATCCGTGGACTTCTGATCAATCATTGTTACTTGGCACATCCATGTATTCCTGATTTCCCCATGACTTGTCTGTACCTGTCTATAAAAGGGGTGTAAAAACTTCTCTCAGGGCCTCTTGGCGTCACCCTTGCTGCTTAGCTTTGACTCTGGACTCTGGTGGTTTGTTTTTGGGGGTCTCTTAGACTCTGGGCGTTTCACCCGGGCCCAAGCCAGCCCTCTGTATCTCTGCCTCCGGCCCCTTTGACGTTCACGTCTTCCCAGTTCGTGAGCCTTTTTGTTCCGATGCTGTGGAGGCTGTCTTTGACCTGGACACGGCAGTGCGTCTCCACGACGGGAACAGCCAGCAGACGGGGGGCCTTGCTCAGATGAGCAGCTCCGGTCCCCGTGTCCTCTCGGTTGCCTGAGCGCCGTCCACACGCAGACGCCCCTCTGCGGCCACCAACGTACACTGGGGTGCCCGGCCCCGCCCCGCTGACCCCACTTCTGTGCGGACGGCATCCGGGCGGGCCCCCCCCCCCCCCCCCCCGCACTCCGGGTGACCTGCCCGGAGCTCAGCAGAGGCCTCGGTCTCTGGGCACGTGAGTGTGGTTTCATCTTGTCGGAGCACTAGTGCAGCAGGCTCTCTAGAGAGTTCTGAATCTTGCTTTTCTCAACAGACATGGACCTTGGGCCACCGTGACTTCGTCCCAGGCAGGCATGAAACCACCGGCCAGGGCAAGGCCAAGGGCAGGGTGGGCCCCACCAGGCCCCGTGCTCAGGTGAAGACCGCCGGCGGGCCATCCACCCACACG